CCCCAAAACCCCAAAACCCCAAAACCCCATAAAGAGCAGGGTTATTGAAATAGCTACTGGGGCTATGAAGCCTTCAGTGATGGCAGAGATCTCCTTGTAGTTGATAACTTCCTGCACTTTAGTTTTATCAAATCTAGTTTCTTGTGATACTCCTTATTCATGATATAGTGGTGTGAGGTTCCAATGCTTGATCTACGACCTTTAAGATTCTTCTGTAAGTTTCCTTTAAAAATAAATTTTGGATCCCTAGAAATTTTAATGTGGTGAAATATTTCATAAAAGCTCATTGATGAGAAGAGAATAGAGACATACTGTCGTTTGTATGACTATTTCTCTTGGCAGAGAGTAAATTAAAATCTCCAGTAATCTGATTCTTGACTAGCTGTGGGGTTGAAGAGAACTTAATAGCTATACCAGTGCTCTCAAAGACATGGTCTTCTATTTTAATAGTCATATTCTTGCATTTTTCTATAGAATATGTCAATTATAACTTTCTTAAAAAATATCTTTGATAGTTCTTTCCTTTCCTGATCTGAGCAAGTGAGTCTATGAATGAGATCTTTCTGCACAAGCAAGTCCCTTTTGATCTTTTGGAGCTCCTTCTGATCCAGGTACCTAAAAGTCTTGGTCCTATTATCATTACTCCTTAGACTTGTATAGAAAACATGGTTTGGGGTTTTTCCTCCTGGCATGTAATGTGCTTGGAGCCCACCAGAATTGTGAGTGATATAGTAATCCCTACCATTGCCTTAAGATATATACTTAAAGCTTCCAGCTCCCTTCTTTGGGGCTGGGGAAACATCGCTTCTGATCTTGGTGAAAAGGGTACTGCTAGCTTTAGCTCTAGACTCTTCAAGACAAAACCCTCCATTATTCCGTAAGATATAGGTGTCCCTGCCATACCCATGAGAGGTATAATGAGGATATTTTTGATGGAAAGTCCTTCCCAAGTTCTGACAACTCTTTGCTGATAAATTCATCTTTAAGTTTCCTTAATTAAAACTCAACTTTTGTAGAAATATAGGGGTTTTGGGGTTTTGGGGTTTTGGGGTTTTGGGG